TTAAACACATTTCGAATTAAACCATGACTTTTGGAAAAACTTTTCGGTTGTGCAACTTGAAGAATATGATGGTTCGATAGAACCAGCCTCATTTATCATACAACAGCATGGTTTTACTGTTTTAAAGCTAATTGAGCCGTTAAAATTTCGAAAATTTTTTGTTGTATCGTCAGCATTTTAATATTTTGAAAGTACGATGTTTCTAACGTCTTTACTTTTCATTATCTAAAAGTAAAAGCGCATTGAAATGTCGTGTGAGAAAATGAATTGAACAGTTTTGTAGAGAATTGAAAGACGAATCTTTTTTAAAAAGTTAGGTCAAATAAATGAAAAATGGTGACGCTATTGCAAAAATATCGAAAGAGTCATTCTTTATGGGCCACCCGTTAGTTATTGAAAATAAACAATTTTTACATAGAAATGTTTCCATGTATATTAAAATAAAATAGAACGATTTTCGGGAACGTCAGTTCTTAACACCGTTCCCATTCCCATGTTCCCATTCCCGAAGTTCAAATGGGAATTCCCATTCCCATTTTCAAGGGAATGGGAACGGAAAAAATTCTGGAAAAAACAGTTCCCGCAGGACACTAGGATTTTGTCAATTTTGAAAACAAAAAATTGCAACTGTAAAATACGCAGTTTTATGTAAATTGTAGAGCTTTCATGCTGCATCGGATGGTATGTTTTGCTTTTTAAATAGAATATATTTAGGGGTCGAAATATGAAATGCAAAATTCTGCCATCTATTCCGATTCATTAGTTAGCAAATCGCATGCATCTAGCGTAAAAGAAATGATGAACAACAGCAAAGGATAAGACTTGTAAGTTTGAAATTTTGCCCATAATCCTAAATACGTCTAAGCATTATAACAGAATAGTTGAACCGAAACTAAGGCTTTTAGAAGAAGCGGGAGAAAAACCTTTTGGAGTGCCCCATGTAAGTCCAGGAACCCAATGAACTCTTGAAGATGTGGCGTCTCTCTCTTTGAGGGCAAACTCGATAAGATACAATGAGCATATCTGTCATTGTGGGTGTCATGAAACATAGAGAGGCCCATATTCTGAAAGAGAGAAAGGTGCGTGTTTGTGTTTCGTGGAACTATTATCGGAATTTAAAAAAAAGGCCATCGGGCAAAATGCTTATAACTTTTGAACGAAGATAGCTAGAGCCCTGAGGTTTTCACCATTCAAAAGGGAAGATAAGGGGACACCTTTTTCTCCAATATTGTATAGGACGAAATCATTTAAAAATCAGTCATTTCTACAAAACATAGAAAAAATGTATAAAAAAACGGTCAGCCATACAGTTGAAATTTAGACGAAAAGTAAGAAAATATGCTTAAAAATTAAAAAAACTCTATAGTTTTCGTGCAATTGAATAGATAAGTTTATTTGTTCAACATTAGGAGGTGGAAAGATAATCATTCGACTTATATCTTGAACTATACATCTGAAGTTACTCTATCTAGACCAGATCTCAAAACCAAAATTTCATCGGAATGACAGATCGTTTTCATACATTTTTTCGATGTTTTGTAGAAATGACTGATTTTTAAATGATTTCGTCCTATACAATATTGGA